TGCACCATATATGTTATCCAGATCCATGTTTCATGCACCCTACTCCACTTGTGTCCTATTGCCAGCATAGTTATTTAACATAGTTATTTTTATTGCACTTTCATTAATTGCGTTCTTCTTATGCTACAGCTGTATAGAAATTTTTGGTAGATGCTGCCTATTGGTGCAAGTCTAAAATCGCAGATCAGCCATGTGGCTGAGCGATGCACAATACACCTCTTTAGTCCTTTGCGATTAAATGAGCTGCATTTTCCCATTTCTTCCACTTATGACTAATCATTTTCAATTTATAAGCGCCTGTCATTTCTTACTGAGTTTCACTTATACAAGCCAGACAGGACCAGATGGGATTCTTTTATGTAAATGCAGGATTAGCACCAGACTAGGTTTGTATATTAATCATGTGGTGCCTACAAACAGCTAGCGGTTCCCGTGTTCGATGCCTCTGATCCATTTTGTGCTTCTGCAGAAAGGTAGACTGACTCAGAATTTGTTCATTTGTTTGGCGTTGCTTCAGTTTCTCATTTCTTCCAGTAATAACAAAAATACACAGTATAATGTTCTGGGGAGGAATCCATTTGTTGCTGTTATGATCTGATCAATAGACAGGGGATACTTTACAACAGGCTTTTGCTATTTAAACATCTTCCTCCTAATTCTCCACTCAGTGTAAGAATCCCAAAAGTTTTTTTGTTAGAAGTCTTTCAGCTGTACCAGATGGCTTCAATTCCAAAGGCATAAGTAATTAATAAGCATATAAAACAATATTAATAAATAATTGACACCCTCTAACAATATGAGCAAAAATGCTGAAAATTAAAATTACATTTATTGTTCATTAGATGCTTCCTGTGCTCAGCAGTATGACAGAATGAGTGAATGAGAGGGTTGCCTTCCTTTCACTGTGTGTTAGCGGACGGGCCCTATCTGTTGTCTGTGCATATGCATCAAATGTCAGTTCAGAGTATATGGCCTTCTTTGAGGCCTTGGAAGGGGTGCTGGAAGGCACTCTCTCTGCTCATAGTTCTGTTGGGAGACTTTAACACTCACGTAAGTAACAGTGATACCTGGAATGATGTGATTGGGAGGAACGATCTTCCCAATCTGAACTCGAGTGGTGCTCTGTTATTGGATTTCTGTGCTAACCACAGATTGTCCATAACAAACGCCGTGTTCAAACAAAAGGGTGTTCATAAGTATACCTGGCACCAGAGAACCTTAGGCTGCAATTTGATTTTGATCGATTTTGTATTCATACCATCAGATCTGCTTCCATATATTTTGGACACTTGGGTGAAGAGAGGAACTGAACTGTCAGCTGATGAGCTGAGTATTTCGAGGATCTTCTGAATCTTACTGATATGCCTCCTTTGGAGGAAGTAGAGCTGGAAGACTCAGAGTAAGACTCACCCACCATGGTGATCAAGTAGCTAAAAAACCCATCAGTGGCTTTGGGGGTGAATGAGATTCGCCCTGAGTTCCGGAAAGTTCTTGATGTTGTTAGGCTGTCTTGACTGACATGCATCTTCAACATTAAGTGGAGGTTGAGTACAGTGCCTTTGGTTTGGCAAACTGGGGTGGTGGTCCCAATCTTTAATACAGAGGACTGGAGGATGTATCCCAGCTACAAGGGGGTCACACTCCTCAGCCTGACTAGTAAGGACTATGCCGGGGTACTGAAGAGAAAGGTCCGCCTGGTTGGTGAAACATTTGATCCAGAAGGAACAATGTGGATTTTGTACTGGTCGTAGAATGCTGGACCAGCTCTTCACTCTTTCAAGCATACTGGAGGGTTCATGGGAGTTTGCCCAACCAGTCTACATGTGATTAATGGAGTTGGAAAAGGCATATGATCGTGTCCCTCTGGGGGTCCTGTGGGGGGTGTTTCAGGCATATGGGGTACAGGGTCTATTGTTGCGGGCCTTCAGGTCCCTGTACAAACGGAGTGAGAGTTTGTTTTGCATTGCTAACTTTAAGTCAGACTTGTTCCCGGTGGGTGTTGGACTCTACCAGGGCTACCCTTTGTCACCAATTCTGTTCATAACATTTATGGACAGACTTTCTAGGCATAGCCAAGGGGGAGAGAGGTTCCGGTTTGGTGGCCTCAGGATTGTGTCTTTGCTTTTTGCAGATGATGTGGTCCTGTTGGCTTCAATGGGCTGTGATCTGAAGAATGCACTCGGGTGGTTTGCAGCTGAGTGTAATGCGGCTGGGATGAGGATCAGCACCTTCAAGTCAGAGGCCATGGTTCTCAACCGGAAAATGGTGGATTGTCCTCTCCTGGTAGGAGATGAGGTACTGACTCAAGTGGAGGAGTTTAAGTATCTCAGGGTCATGTTCATGAGTGAGGGAAGAAGGAAGCAGGAGATTGACAGGTCAATCAGTGCAGTCAGAAGTAATGTGGACACTGGTCCACTCTGTCATGGTGAAGAGAGAGCTGAGCTGAAAGGCAAAGCTTTCGACTTACCAGTCGATCTATGTTCCTACTCACACCAATGGTCACAAGCTTTGAGTAGTGACCGAAAGAATGAGATCACAGGTACAAGTGGCAGAAATGAATTTCCTCCGCAGGGTGTCTGGGCTCAGGCTTAGAGATAGGTTGAGGATCTTGGACATTCAGGAGGGGCTCAAAGCAGGGCCACTGCTCCTCTGTATCGAGTCAGTTGAGGTGGTTCAGAGAAGAAGGTGGCTGGTGAGAGGGAGGTCTGGGCATCCCTGCTTAGTCTGCTGCCCCTGTGACCCAACCCCAGATAAGTGGCATAAAATGGACAGATGAATGGATGGATGCATCCCCTGTTTGCCAAGATAACAGCGCTGAATATTGTCCTGTAATGCTCGGTGAGGTGGGACAACATGCAGCATCAGGTCCGAAGCCGCTTCTCCATACAAATTCCACCAAATTCTTTGCCTAGTACTTGTGGACTCTCCTCTGTGCACAGATGTTCAATGGGCTTTACTCAGGGCACTGTGATGGCTATTCCAAATGTTTGGTTCTGTTGTCATGGAGCCATTTCTGAGTGCAGTTGGAGGGTACAACTGTGAAATCTAGCCACGACTCCTTTTGTCTTCTTTCATTTGAGTATTTCCTGAAGCCACCTATACTGCTTGATGACTATGGGGGTTTGGCCTGGGTCTCACCTCATATTTATACTCCAGTGACACAAGAAGTAATAGTTCCCACAGATTCTGGTGTGCTTAACAGTGTACAACATTATACTTCAAATATATTTTCCTAATAGCAGTTGCCAGGGGTGCTAGAGACTGTTCCCTCTGAATAATTATTGGTCAAATTTCTCTCAGTAAAATGAAGCTGATAAAAATGGACAGCCATTTCATTCATTTTCTCCAAGGGTGCCAATAACTCTGGAGAACATTATATATATGCTATGATGAACTATCAATTTTGCTATATATAGTCACATTAAATTAAAGGTGATTGCATGTACGGCCCCCCGAATCTCAGAATGGACCCTTTCAACCCTGAATGATGCCTATCGCAGAAAAAGCCAGAACAGCAGTTACAATCTTTCTGGGCCTCTATTAACTTTGCATAAAGGTTGCTGTCAATGTCAGCAAAACAAATTCATTAACACTATTGTGTTTAATGGTATTTACTGTGAGAACCCTATCAAAAGTACTCCTGGCCTCTTCTGAGAGCACATAGAATGTTTCATATGTGCCCTCAGTGAAACGGAAACTTTGGACTGGAAAAGAATGCACACACATAAAACAGAACTACAAAAGCAAAGGCAGGCGTGTCACAGGTATATTATTTGTTGTTTGTAACAGAAAGGGGAACGGGTGTTGTGTGATTCACAGTGTTATTTCAGCCATGTACCTATATAGTCATATATATGATTGGTAAATCGTGACATTAAAGTAATTCTGACAAGAATAGGAGAGACAAGTGGGAAGACATCTTTGGAAGACAGAATATCCGATGTAAAACTACGCATATGAGACATTTCTTAACAACACACTGAGTTCTCATGCTTGCCCACGGGGTCCTTGAAAGACTTCATTAATATACAGCATTTCAAACAGTCTTTTTTTTTCAGAAAATGCCTTTTTGAGTCTAAGGTATAAAAGTCTGTAATAGCTGCGCTATTAATGCATTTGTCATCTGTTATCAACTGTGGACCCACAACGTAATAATACAATCAACAACCTAACAGAAAATAAATAAGAAATGAAATCGACACAGAAAGTATCACATTTGGTCTAATACAGAGATTATATATTTCTTTATTTAATTATTTCCATACAAAGCATTTTCTTTCTAAAAAAAAGAAAGCTTATGGAGATGAGATATGAGTGTGTATTCACAGACTGTACATCTCCCTTCACTCATAAACCAACTGCAACGTTTCAGTCAACACAAGCATGTCATGACAACCACCTGCTGACCAGTGCCAATCCAGACTGTGTCCCTGCGGCTCACTGGGGACAGGCAGACATGGCACTGGTATGATAGAATGCCAGTTAGAAGGAATTTCCCTCATATAAACACAGGATAAGCACACAAGAACAACATCTGGATGATGACGCCATTACGATGACACCAGTGTTGGTAAATGCTGCCCCTGAAATCAAGCACACTGACCTATACAGTCTTCATAGAACTTTGTCCAGCTCTTTGCTTTTTTATATACTGAAAGATTTCATAACTGACATCCCACTTCTTTAATACCATTCATTTTGTATGAAACATGAATTATTACACTTTTAGTAGTTTTTGAAGTTGATCCCGCAACCAAAGAGTTTAATAGTGATATCTTGCAAAACTGCACATGCACAAGCACACGTTACATATGAACAACCCCTTAAACACTTAATAGTAAGTATATGACCCAGGTCCAGAACTTCAATCAGACATAAAATAATTATTTAAATGAAATACTTTGACCGTAAGAGATGGAAATATGGCCTGCAAAAAGAGAATACAATGCTGTGTTATGTGAATGACTAAATTTACAAAAAATGATGCATTGGAAAATAGCCAACTTTAAAAAAACTTTAATGAAGAATGTTTAGCCATGGCCAATATTAAAATGTGATGGCTTCAGGAGAGGTATCACTCTGATATCCTTTGTACCTTATTGTGAATCAATGATTTTGTAGATATTGTAATTTTGTATCAGTGGGGTCACACTGTATGGGGTTTACACACACTCACTCTTTGTCCTTTACATAAAACTTATTGCTTCAGGCTAATTTCTCTCCATGGTCTTTCCATCCGAAGTGCAGCTTATCTCAGCAGTCAGATGCCCTTTCAACAATTGCAGGCAATGAAATACTTTGAAGTACACAAGATTCAGCGAAACAAATCAGAACAGGAAAAAGCCCAGCGATTCCCAATGTTTACTAACCAGTCTTTGACTGCTGTACACACGTTTCAGTGTTGAATGGCAGCTGAAAACAGGTTCTGCAGACATTATATACAGACATGTCCCAGTTCCATCAACTAGACCTGCTAGATCATTCCATGTTCCAAACCCAAATCATATATAGATGAAAGTCCTAAAAAATCCATTTTAAATCTACTATTATAAACTATTTCACCATCAAGAAAAGTATTCATTTAAAAACAAATCAACATATTCCCTTATTTCACAGAACAGTTTCTCACCTGTGGATACATTTTTACATACAAGATAACTTTTATTGAGGTTAACAATAATAGAGGAAAGAATAGCAAAGAGAAAGTGTATTGTTCTCAACGCAAAAGTGTTTGTGAGCTGATTATACCAGTAATAATTAGCAATACAACAGTCACACAACAGAAATAAATTACTCTAGTCACCTCTCTATACTGCCCATAATGATGTAAACCATCTTTGTTGCTTTCATTCCCCATTCCTCACAACTAATTAATGAAATCTGTCTTTTTCAGTGCCACCCATCAGAAATGCCCCTTAAACATATCAGCAGTAAGTTATCCCCGACCCAAACTCTGCTGCCAATAGTGAGTGCTGGAAGTGGTAATGGCACTGCACAAACAATGGCGATCATGAAGCAATGCTCAGTTAATGGGGGGTGACAAAGAAACATAACAGAAACACCATTCACTTGACACTAAATGATGTGAAGGGAAGGGTTGATGAACACATTACATATGCTGAAATACATTATTTGTCATACATGTGACAAACACAAGCACATGTCATATATATACATATACAAATATACATGCATACATTTATACATATTATATATGTATACATGTGCATATATATGTGTGTATATATATATAAAGACTATAAACATCATATATTAAGACCACAATAGCTTCAGTAGGATGGAATATCTGGTGTATAGCCTAAACCCATTACAGTCAGGCAACATGATGCATTTTAGTGGAGTTTCTAACAATATTCATGTTCTTCTGTGAGGAATCATTATGAAATGCAATTCTTGGAGATTACACATACACCCATTTGTATCCAATCTATATACAGTATTTTAGCATACACAATTACTATACAGTCATGTAACATCAACTCGAATGCAGATATGTGTTTTATTTATATTGTTGTCTGTCTCTCTCTACAGACAGCTATTGGGTGCCTGCTATATAGAAATTTTTAAGTTTAATTTTCTGTATAACGGTATAATTATTAGGCTTGTTCGAACAACAAACAGACTTGTACACGCACATATGCCCACTGAAGTTATAGTTCATCAAAGGCCTTCATCTGTGTGCCACAGATACAAATATGTGTGCCAGTTTTAGGACAAAATTAAAAATATACATTAATCTCTCTATTCAATAATTAAAAATCATTACCTGAAAGCAGGTGCACTGGCATCATATTACATTACCATCAAGTCAGCCCACTTTATTATTTAAGTAAACAGTCGCCATTGACAAATAAAATATGGAGACTCTAAGAGTGAAATCTGAATGTGAAAAGTGATCTGAATGAGCAAAAAGTGCTATAGTATCATATGGTTCGCTTTTGTTTAATAATTAATATGCTCATCAACCCCAAGTTCAAGGAAGGAAAGTTAATGCATTACAACAAAGTGAACTGCCATAAAAATAGTCATTAATGACTAAATGTGCATGAAAATTGGCAGATTTCAATCTGGGGATCCACTCAGATCATTTTCATGTTGATCCTACGAGGGGCATCTATGCTGCTGCCTGTGTCAGTGTCCGACCGGCGGGGCACAAACTCAATCTCAATATTTGGCTTTGTGTTGCCTTTGCCCCGACTCCAGAGGAAAAGGAGGACAAGACAAAACAGGACGACGCCAAGGAAGGAAATAAAGCCCATGGTGGTGGCAATAATCAAGGTCTTCATGTCAAAGGGGAAAGGAACTGTGGCTTTAGTCTCATTGCCATTCATGTCATTGGGCTGGTTGGAGATGAAGGCAAATGTTTTGTTGGGCTGATGTGGCCATCCCGGCGAGTAACTGCGCACAAAAAGCTGGGCAAGAGCAGAGTCATTGCCCCCAGCGTTGCTGGCAATGCATGTGTATGTGCCATTATCTTGGATCTGTGCATATCTCACCTCCAAGCTGCCATCAGATAGCACAGACCTCCTCCCAGTTGTTTTGGTGGTAATCAATTGCTTCCGAGGGGACAGCCACATGATCACAGGGGCAGGATCGCCATCTGCCTCACATGTGAAGTGGATGGTCGTTCCTTCATCAACAAACTTTTGCTGGGCAGTGTGGTCCAGAATCTTTGACTTGGTGCAGGTGAAGTAATTTGATGGCAGAACATCCGGGAAATCTTTGAACTCTTTCCCTCGCACAAAATCGGGGGATGAGCATGTGGGCTGTTGCCGATTAAAATTGAGCCTCCAGCGGCGACGGAAGACCCAGAGCAGCCGACAATCACAGGCCAGGGGGTTGTCATGCAGAGCCAGAGTCTCCAAGTTACCCACGGAGTGGAAAGCTGACTCCTCCAGAGTCGACAGGGAGTTGCTTGAGACATTGAGAATTCGCAAGTAGTTAAGTCCTCGAAAAGAGTAGGGCTCTATAGCCATTAGCCTTCCACCAACCAGATGAAACTCCTTGATACGGAGCAGGTCATTCAGCTTATTCCCTTCGATGATATGAATGGGATTAAAAGACAGGTTCAGGAAATGTAAGTACACAAGATGCCGTATAGCCAAATAAGGAACAACAGTCAAGTTGCAGTTAGAGATAGTCAAGGAGGTGAGGTTGAGTCCATAGAGGCAGTTGGAAGTCATAGTATCCAGGTATGGCCAGTTATCGATCTCAAGAATTTTTAGCCGGTAGAGTCGCTTGAAAGAATAATCCCTGATTATATTAATGTTGAGGTACCTAATCTTGAGTGTGATGAGGTTGTGCAGCTGAGCAAATGCCTCTGTGGGTATGGACGTCAGGTTGCACTTGTCTAGCGTGAGGTGCTCTAGGCTGCTAAGACCATGAAATGCTCTGTTGGAAATAAAGACAAGGTCATTGTCACCCACTTCTAGAGACTTTAAATTGAATAGGTCTTGAAACATGTAATCCAGTAAAATGACAATTTTATTCTCACTGATGTCCAGTTTAGTGAGGTTGTTTAGGCCCATGAAAACACCCAGTTGAATGAGCTTCAGATTGTTATTGCGTAGCCCCAACGTCCGTAAGCCATAAAGGTTGCTAAAGGCTCCCGGCTCAATGCTTGAGATGTTGTTCTCATTGAGCTCCAGCTCCTCCAGGTGTGGGTAGCCGGCAAACTCCTCCGGATTGATAGCCTTGAGGCGATTCTTGCTCAAGTCAAGCAGCCGTGTCTCAGTGGGGATGCCGTCTGGGATGGCTGTCAGCTTCTTGCGGTGGCACACCACAGAACGCTCCTGGGCGCTGCACTCACAGCGTGACGGGCAGCCAGTGGTGGAGCCTGACAGCACAGTGCCAAGCATCAAGATTAGGATGGGCTGCCAGCAGGCCACTAGGTAGCTGTGCCCGTTCACCTCCCCCCCCACCATCCTAGCTCTTACCTGGGGAGACAGAAAGGGAGAAGCAAGTGAAACCAGAAATCATTTGCAACCACTGCAATCTCAAAATATAAATATTTACATTCAACCCATTTATCAGCTTTAGTAGGTGTACAAACAGCCCTAAAGAAACCCTGTGTAGCCTTGATATTGGCAAAAGCACTGGCGATGCATCGAGTCTCTTTATTGCAGTTTATTACAGTTCCTTCCTTTCCACTGAGGAGTCGCTAAATCTACCTTTAGTACCAATTCCTAGATCCATATTATCTTTCAAATGATAAATATTGTGGTGCAAATTTAATATATGTAATTGAACGTATCTTCCCGAATCAGGAAGAACTAATGAGCTTTCCATCTGGTTAAGCTTCCAACTGCACTCAATTAATGGTCTCTATTCAAGCAAATGACAGTATAATTTAGTTGTAGGCTGGCACAACACAAATTATGTGAACACAAATGTTGTTAAAAAGGACAATAAAAATGGGTACATTTCATTCCCTGGCTGTAGGAGACTGTATGTTGAATCCACTGATCTAGTATGGTCTAGCTTTGGTTGGACTATGCATTTTTTTTGTTCAAAAAACTATATATTGGTAAAACAAAAATGACATGCATTCTTGTTACTGCCTACTTAGAGAACTCTTCATTACTCATTCGATAACCCAAATACACATTTGCACACCAGAACTCCCACACATACTGGAATGAAGCTTCTTCGACGTTTATCAGTGCAGTGGTGTCCTGGGGAGGTGGATACACTGTCATACCGTATAATGCCTATAAGCAGGCCTCTTCTCACTGATATGCCATTCTGACAATTTTTGGTGGGTTCACAGTAAATCCATCATTTTAGAGGCAGGAATACACAGTGTATCTGTGCATAGACACCACTGCACCTCTGGTACATACTGTCAACAAGCACTGTGGCGCTGCCACTCGATTACCGTCACCATTAACCACACACTGTGAATAATGGCTTCCAGTTACTTTAAACTTCCTCCTCCATTTTCTTCCTCATAAGAATAAAATACATTTTCCTGTGCTTCCTTTGCAAAAGTGTATAAATGCTTTTCTATCTTCTTTTCCATCGCTCACACACACATTTGTATTCACATCTTTGTGGGGACAATCCATTCATTCTTATGGGAAAAACCCTAATCCTAACAATGACAACCTTAGAATAGAATAGATCTTTATTGTCACTGTTTTTAAAACACAAAAAAGACCCCAACCCAGTCCTAATCGTAACAAACAAAATACAAGACTTTTGGCATTGCAAGGTTTTTGATTGCAGTTGCAGTTTTTATAAAACTGAGTTTCCCTTTGTCGGGAACAGGGACAGGACATTTGGTCCCCACAATACAATATATACATAACCCCCCCCCCCCCACACATACACACACACACACATACACACACACACACAAGCTAACAGTACCAAGCTGGGTTATAGTGATTAAATTAGCCCTCTGCCCTGGGGCTGCACAATTGATTGTGTTTGAACTGTGATCTCAGTTCACAGCCCTATGCAATCTCATTCTTACATGGCATGGATTGCGCTGTGTTTGCACAGGCGGGGAGATCTGTCAGATCATACCCAGCACTCCCTTTTTCTCCATGATCATCCAACAAATTGGGAGTTTTGGCGTGCATAATTACCCGCATTACCGACACCACGTGACAGGAAGTGGGGCAGAAAAACAGATGTTACAATACAAGTTTTAAGTTCATGTTTAGCATTTGTCATAGGAAATGCCGGTCCAGACTAACAGAATGACGTTACATTGTTTTTTATTCTGTGGAATGATTGCCGGGGGTGTTGCACCAAATTCTGGGCCCCCCACCATCCAACTTTGGATTCAGAATTAAACCAGGTGGTGAATCAAACCACTGTGGTGCTTGAGGGCCCGCTGAAGCAGGACAGCGGTCCAGTGAGCTGGCAAGGGTGGCTTGAGGGCCTGCTGCGACAAGACAGCGGTCCAGTGAACTGGCAGGGACGGCTTGAGGGCCAGCTACAACAGGACAGGGGTCCGGTGAACTGGCAGGCGCGACTTGAGGGCCCGCTGCAACAGGACGGGGGTCCGGTGAACTGGCAGGGGCGGCTTGAGGGCCCGCTGCGACAGGACAGGGGTCCAGTGAGCTGGCAGGGATGGCTTGAGGGCCTGCTGCGACAGGACGGGGGTCCGGTGAACGGGTAGGGGAGGCTTCAGGGCCCGCTGCGATAGGACAGGGGTCTGGTGAACTGGCAGGGACGGCTTGAGGGCCCGCTGCAACAGGACAGGGGTCCAGTGAGCTGGCAGGGACGGCTTGAGCGCCCGCTGTGACAGGACGGGGGTCCTGTGAACTGGTAGGGGCGGCTTGAGGGCATGCTGCACCAGTCTGTGTCTTCTCAGAACAACAGAGCGGCGCATCTCCCAATGAGTCACCCCCCTGCTCATCTCCTGGCGGGGCAACACCAGGCACGGTGTCCCCCCTCCCCGTAGCACCAGCAGATGAGCCTCCCATCTCCATGGCCATGCTCCCGAGCGGCCTTCATGCTAATCGGCCACTGCTCCGTCCGCCTTGCCACTCCATAGCCTCACAGGTCTTCCAGGCTGGAGCGGGCTATCAGGGCAATGGCCAGGAGGACCCACTCCAGTTCGGCCGCTATTGGTATCCCATTTCTGATACCAGTACTGCGTCTGGCAGAAAAAGTTATCGCAGCGGTGGCAGGAGATGAGGATGCTCACTTATAAGGGAAAACAATGCCCTTTTAGCGGACCCTTCAAAGGACTAATACAGACATTAAACAACCACTGAGCAAACATAACAGAGAAACACCGGGAAGTCGGACGCTGGACAGTAAGGTACACTCAAGATGGGACTTGTGAGGGTCAGACGGGGTTCATGCAAGACACAGACAAGGGCACAATCGGGAACAATAAGACACACAAGGGGCTATTCACATTTTCCGAGCATGCTCCTGCGCCACATTATTTCCGAGGTTTTGGGAGGGTCCCCCTTCCAGGCCGAACCCTGGTTAGTCAGGCCCCCCATTACCCGCGGTCCGACACCCCTAATGACTACTACCAATATGTTAACTGACATATCGCGCATCTATACTTACTGTTTGTTCCATCTTCATAAAGACAATACCCAATGAAAAAACATTATTATTATTATCAATAGCAATAATAATAATGATCATACTAATTTTGCTCAAGAACACCAAGAGTGAAATCATCGCGATTCATATTTTACCCAGAAGCCCTGCCACAAACTGATAAATGAAAACTAGCTGTCTGACTCAACTTGATCGGGCTGATTACTGTTTTACGAGTATCTCGGCCTGCCAAGGTGAAAGCAGAGTGCCAGAAAGGTGAGCTCTCATGTTCCTGCATCTCTTTAGGATTAGGTGTTTCCCAGACTCTTTGCATTTAGGCATTTCATGCTGTGTCTACTCGTTTTTGCAGTTACCATGTAAAGGGGCTTTGGCAGTGTTTTGTATTTGCTGGTTTGAATTAATCATGTTGGATTTTGGCAGTGCTGCCTGCTTTGCCCTTGCTTGAGAGACAGACCTGCACCCTGCACTCTTCCGCAAAACACCGGTATACTAGAGCCTGATCCCTCCGAAACTAATCTTTAAATGTGAGAATTAGCTCAATTTCAATGTCTTATTGACCAACGAGTCACATTCCCCCACCCCAATGATAAGCGGTATAAATGCCATATAAATTACAGTTTAGATGTAATGTAAACAGATACTGACGGTGTTAGAGCTGACTTTCATAAAATATACAGCCAGCATGCTGCAATAAGCTAAGGAAGTCCATTGTACTTGTACAGGCATTGCTGGCCCTGTGATGTAAGTGAGCCTCGGAATTCTCATATTTCATTTACTCCGCATCGGAGACCTAGTGTACATAACAGATATCATTCATTGTTTCATTAAAGGGATCCACAACACATATTTGACAGGTTGTATTTTACGACTTACATTTTTAATGAGGTATATACTGCAAATGATATATTTTTTTATTTATGTTGTGCAAAATATATATTTGCCATCTGTAAGCTGTCTGATTCCTTATTTCAATATCAGTTAGCAGAGCACATTTGCAGTGTTTTAGTTACTCATGCACCTCAATAAATAATCTGATATTTACTTGCACTGTGTAAGAATCATTTTATCATCTGTCTCGTGGATTTCTGTGAAGGATATTCTTTCTTGTGGAAACATTTTGTCACATACAAACTTCTGTAGGCATATTTTCAAGTTTATTATTGAAAGCTGACTTTGGAAAAAAAAAATTTGTGAAGCACTGGCAGCTTCAGATGTCTGGGTCTCCTAAGAGGTCTGCCGAGGGGAGGTCTGCCGAGGGGAGGTCCGCCGAGGGGAGGTCTGCTGAGGGGAGGTGCTCTTCCTGTGTCACCTCTGACCTGGGACACTGGCACCCGGGAGTCTACAGCAGTGGATTTCATACGTATCACTGCCCCATAAGGCTGCGCAGCTCCCACCCTTACACTGCAATCCTCAGTCAGTCTTTTGGAGGTGCCTGTGGGCCTCTGCTGCCCTGTGCACACACCACTGCCATTAGGACCAGTTCTCAAGCCTGCTAGCATGTGGCTCCGAGTGTGACAAAATGGCCTTTGGTTAAATGGTTGGCATTTACAGGTATGCTCTAGTCGCTGCCCTCCCTGCTCATGTATAGGTGTCTGGGAGAATATAAGCCTCAGTACATATAAGCCTTCCCCCAGCCTCTGGCCATCGCTCCTGCACCGTACCTCGCTGGCCTGTCTGCTTTTCACATCCTTCAAATGCTCGCTAATCACTGCTCTTATCATCCCCCTTCTGTCAAATGTGGCCCAAATAAGAGAGAAGAAGCCCGGCCAGCGCACATCACGCAAACGCAGCATTTCTGCAGCTGCGGTTCCTCACAGTGCCGGTTCATTTCCCACTACAGCCACCTCAGCAGGACGGGAGCCCAGCCTGGAGCACGGCGCCGTGTCCCTGGCCAGGCTGT